GATGGTTTAAACTTATTGGGCCCCATAGGTGGTCAGTAAAATTAGCTACTGATTGTTCAGTATCGAAGTATTGTCCTTTTACAAATATATACGTGTATATTTGTTAGTGGGCCATGTCAGAGTCAGTATACTTGTGGTTTTGTATAGTCATTGCCCAAGTATTCTCCATAGTAAATGAGAAAAACTGGACTTAGCTGCTGTAAATTCAGCAGCATGTCCTACTTACACCCAATCCCAGCTGGATATGTGTCCAAGTTTTGATTTTTTTAATCAAACTTGGACACGTGTCCAGCTGGAATTAGGTGTAAGCAAGACCTGCTGCTGAATTCTTCAGTAGCGAAGTTCTTTCCAAATAAGAATGGTTATGGAATAACCCATAACAGTTGGTCAGAGTTAGGTCGGATCCTTTTTCTGGGATTCCGTGATCGTGATCGTGATCGTTCATCGTATATCGTGTTGTCAGAAATCATTTTGAATTTTAAATTTTAAATTAAATATAAATAGTATCTAACAAAAATTAACCGCACGATATACGATGAACGGTCACGATCACAGAATTCCCGAGATCCTCAAGAAAAAGATCTGACGAGGATCATTTTCCCAGATGAAGAATTGCAATTGATTTGCAATTTTTTAGTCAACACATGCATACACGTGGAGGATTGGGAGGCTACTTCCCCTATAGTTCTGTACCGCAAGTTTGGCGATGATTATCTCCAAAATGTAACCACGGCGGTGCATATGGATTGTTATTTGTTCAAATCCATGGGTGCATGTTTTCTTAGGATTCAATGTGATAAGGCTAAAGCACAAGGATTGAATTTGGTTGCATTTTTTACTAAGTTTAGAGTCTTGGGAGTAGTGGGATTTATCCGAAGCTTGAACGGTGGAAGAGTTCTAGTAGCATGGCACAACCTATATCAGTTTATCAACCCACGTGCACTCGTCTCTATAAATACAATAAACCGTGCAACATTTCAAGCCCCTCCAATATTTAACACCCAAATGCCATGCGCAAACCTGTCAAACATCTTGAGATTTTTATTTATTTATTTTTCTGCTAACACATCTTCAATTTGGATAAACAGTACTGTGGAGGCAACCGGCAACATCTTCAGTTTGGGTAAATAGCACTGGAGCTATATAATCAACCGGACCTTATTTGGGTAAACAACATTGGAGCCATAAAATTAGCCAACCAAGGAGCACCTTCAGTTTAGATAAAACATCATTGCTTTGAGACCGACTGGTTATTTATCCAAGTCTCAGTCAACAAGAATTTCCGAGTCCTTATTGGTAGAGGTCATCTCATCAGCCTTCTCAGCAAAGTAAGATGTTACCAGGTTACTACATTCGGCACACTGAAAGCCAAATTTGATATTAAACTTCGTAGAACTAGAAGCCTTCTCTTCAGGCTCTAGAACCCAAAGTCCAAGACGTGTTTCTTCCTCGGCCGCAGTCGTGAGATCAAGAAGTCATTAGCACACCCAACGCCACATTAACATACATTTTACTCCCCGGCCGAACTCGGCCGACGAGTTAGCACGTCTCGCATTCAACTGGAGGACGTAGTTAGTTCATTAGTTACTCGGCATAAGCATCACGTAAGCTAAGTAATTTTTAAGGTCAATACTTTTATAATTTAGTTACATCTACCCATTCATATAACAGGATTAACCTGCTGTTATCTCCTCAAATTTATAAATAAATTATATTATCCCCTTTAGAAATTTAAGGAGATAACAACAATTTAAAAATTGTTAAATAGATTTTGTTCCAAAACTAAGATTGATAGATTTTCTTCCAAAACTAAGATTGTTAGATAGACGTTACTAAATTATAAAAGCCATAAAGGGGTCATATCTATTTTGGATGCAGAAGATTTGAACTCTTTTCCTGTACGGCGCTGCAGTCGAGGTCTACATTTCAATTCATCATAATAAATTATCATTGTAAAAAATTAGACCTATTCAAAATTTTATGATGGAGACCTTAAAAAAGAAAGAAACAAGAAAGTGATGTGTGATATCCTACTAGTGTAATAGTGTACTAGTACATCAGAATGACAAGGGCTGCAATCAAATCATTTATACAATAATCATCTTGAATTTTCTAATGAAATTCTATTTTGTTTTTCATGTTATGACGATAAGAAAGGGACTTTTTCTTTTCTTTTTTTTTGTTTGTTTTGGGTAACAAAAAGGACACTTTCCATTAAATTAAAGGAAAAGGAATTTTATCTTTAGGTATTGGTATCGAGAGATGTTTTTAGGGGATAGATGTGAGCGTCTCATGGTCTGCTCAGTTCGACCACGTAATAACTGTTGCTATGTTATCATAAGTGAGATAAGGTTTGCGTGACGATTTATGGGAGCAGTGGCGAAGTCATGAATTGTCGGAATGAGGGATGAAATGTAAAAGGATAAAAGTTAATCACTTGAAGAAATAATTGAATTTCAATGAGACATCCTTAAATTGGTTACCTCCTTGAAGTTGTTTAACTGAGTTTGTAGAATTAGATTTAACTATGATCCACTAATTCAGTGGATTTGTTTAACCAACAAGAGCACCAAAAAAGCCAAGTAGATGATGCCAAACTACAAGATGCATAATGACATTGAAGAATATACCCTAAACCTTAGTCTCAAGTTCTATTTTCTCCTTAAATTTTAAAGTAAAAAATTGTTTCTGAACTTCGAGATTATACGAAATAGCCTCCAACAATAAAAAAAATGGACAATCATTGCACTTGTAAACCTTAAAAGCTTGAGTTATTTCTTCAAACCAACTCAAATTATTCAACAAAGACAGTAGTAATCTTGTGAAACAAAAACTCTCTTTTGCTCATCTTCTGGACATTATCCTCCTGCCACTCACGATACATCGAAAAGTGTTCCAATGGCACTTTCAGATCCACAATACCTTCATTGTCAAACCCAATAAAATACAAGCAACAATCTTGCAAGAAAAATCCACACCATTTCCATTATACTAATCGTTGCGGAATTCCAAATTCAGCTAATCCAATTCCTAAGGACTTCATATTGGTGTTTTCAACATTAACTTTTGTCCCTTTCAAAAAAAAAAAAGAGTCCTTATGTTATTTTTCATTCAGCGAACAAAGTACAACCTTTCCTATTCATATTCAATTATCAATTAAATAAAACTAGGGTTTTTAGAAACAGAATCCAAACACACCTAAAACAACCCAGAATTCAGTTTTTCTTTACACCCACTAGAAAAAATAGAAATCTTCAAAAGCCAGAAAAAGCACCGCTTTTGGGCTTGATTTTCTGCGAGGGGAGGGCCGGCAGCCCCTCCTTGCTCCTCTGTAGCTTCGCTACTGGATGGGAGGGAGACTTGTATGCACCAAGAATTTTGAGTAAAGATACGATATTTATTAGAAAAAAAATTGTGCATACGAGTGTTTATTGTATTATCAGAAAGTAATTAAGTATGTGTATCTTAGTGTGAATTCATTTTTCTTTAGTCTTTTATTACGATTAACTATTTAACTCATTAACATTATCGTTGTATTAAAAAAAAATTAATTGCATCGAAGATAAAAACAAAAAAATGGGCTTTAATTTTAAAAAACCTTGCGCAGGCTTTCGACCGTACTAAAGAAAAATATAATACCACACATACATCATAAGTATGAGAGTTATGTGTGCGAAATTAAAATATATGATCACATGCGATAGGGGCAACTGCCGTTTATTGAATTTTTTTTCCCGTGGATATAAACACTTGTTTGGATGAATGATTATCAATTAGCAAGAGATTTAGGCAACAGTAGTAAAATGTTTTATATGCGAAAATTGGATTAATGTTGTTATGGTGATAACGTATTCAAAGATTGCTCATGTAGTAAAAAAATAGAGATTTAAACTCTCGTTATAAAGATTGTTAGTAAATTGATCCAAAAATGAGATCTTTGTCAAATCTTCGTTAGATGCAAGAATAAACATGTCCAACCCTTCTCTCTCTCTCTCTTTCTCTCTCCCCGCAAATCTTTCTCAAAGTCGGCTTTCTTTCTTCTCAAATTCATCGGCAATAAATCGACATTCAAGGCCAGTCTCATGTTTTCACTCCCAACGGCCTGCCCTTCTTTTACATCTCTTGGCCGATTTCTCAGTTGGGTTGTCTGCAATCTTTGATTTCATTTCACACAACGGTATGTTCGGCAAATCGAAGAGTTTGATGTCTCTAATATTTTATAATTATTATCTAGCTAAGTTTCAGCGTGTCTCACTAAAAGATTGAAGAACATTGAAATAAAGGCCAATCTATCAGTCTCATCATCTCTGCTATCAGCGAGTCCTTTTAATTATCCATCAAAATTAAATATTAAATAGATTTGTATGTATTTGTATACGCATGTATGTAACGAGATGATCTATTGGTATGCTATTATCTCTTAATATTTGTATGTACGCTAAGACCATCTCCAACCCTGGGCTAAAAGTCAAATTACCCCCCAAATTACCCCCCCAAACACTCTCCAACCCATGCTAAAATTTTAGGCTAAATGCTAAATGCTATTTCTGGGCCAAATACCCCCCAGCTTTCCCCCTGGGCTAAATGCGAAATGTTTATCGGAATTTAAATTTTTTTAGATTAAAATGTTCATAAAATTAATTTACAATAATCTACATATTTATTTTTTTTTTTAAAAATTGATTTAAGAAAAAAATTTAGGCTAATTTCATTCTTTAATAATTCCGGGCTAAAATTTTAGGGTAGAAGGGTTGGAGCAGAAAAAACGTTTCTGGGCTAAAAGCTAAATTTTCCGGGCTAAAAAATTTGGCTTTTAGCCCAAGGGTTGGAGATGGTCTAAGAGATTATATGTATGCATGCTATTAAGTCATTTTAATTATCATTTGACGGTTAAAAAAAAAATACACTTTTAGTGTTTTAATATTCACTCTTAATATTAACTTTAACCGTAATGACTTTTAAGTTTTTAATCATCAGATGACCGAGGTAACGAGGCTCAAAAAATAGTGTACGTAAGGGATAAATAAAGCAAAATTGATAAAACTATTGAGGGTATAACGGTAAAACCACACGGGAGGCATTTCCTTAGCTCATGAAGGATACACGCAGACGCAGTATTCTCGTCAGAGCTGAGTCATACACAAAAGAAAACATAAAAACCAAAGATACAAGAGAAAGACCCTCAAATGAAGCTTCAGCAATGGCGTTAATGGCAACCAGAACAAACCTCTTTAGGCTCCTCACTACAAAAGCACCGATTTTGGGATCTGGGTCTTCCTCCAATGGCCTCAAGGGACCCGTTCGGGCCGACCGGAGCGGTGGAGCCGTGTCAACTTCGTCGTATTCGACCTCTGCGGTGGCGCAGCAGCCTGAGTCCGGGACCATTGGGTCTAGGCCGCCGCACATGGGGCAGGAGATATTGGGTGTGAAAGATTACGAAGATTATAGAAGATCTTTGTATGGTGAAATCACTCACAAGGCTTTGCTAGTTGATGCTGTTGGTACCCTTGTTGTTCCTTCCCAGCCAATGGCTCAGGTCCTCTCTCCCTCTCTCTCTCTCTCTCTCTCTCTAACGCTTTACATGCACACAGCCGGCACATATCATTTCTTAATATTTGTATGTAAATTGTAATGAACGTTTGGGTTTCTGGTTTTTATATATATGAACTGAATATTGTCTGGGTTTCTGGGTTTGTATATCAATGGATTGAAGCTTTTGGATCTTGTGTCCTTGCTTATTTTTGTTTTTCTATTTTGTGTTTTGTTATATTTCCATAAATGGTAAAAATCCAAGAACATCCTGCTCATATTTCCATTTTGTGATTATGTGTAGAGATATTGATTATTTTTGCATCTATTGAATTTCTGGGTTTTGTGTGAGAGAATTAGATTCCTGGCCCCTGGGAATTTTCCTTTAAAAGTTATATTTTGGTTTTGGTTTGTAGAGTTTGCAGGTTTTGGGATTTCTTTTTTTTCTTTTTTTTTTCCCCCCTCTTATCTGTCTGTATGACTGCTGACATATTGAATATTTTTCTGTTTGCATAGATATATAGGAAGATAGGCGAGAAATACGGAGTGGAGTACTCAGAGACCGAGATTTTGAACAGATACAGAAGAGCTTACGAGCAGCCTTGGGGAAGATCTCGTCTCAGGTCTCTTCCAATCTTGTTTTCAATGTTTCTATTTTCCCTTGTATACTGGGGTACATATGGTTTTCGATAATCCATTTTCTGTCGTTTGAAGTGTAAGTTTTATGTCTTTACTTTTTTTATTCACTGGCCTTTTATCGAAATTTACATCAATTTTTTACTTTAATACCTATTATTTGACATTTTGGAAGTTGGCTGGGAAGCTAATTCATAAACTCTGTGTTCTAAAGTTTATTCGCAGAGATTTGATGCTTCATCCAATCAACTTCACTTTGTTTCTCATAACCGAGTATTGACCGGGAAAGATCTAAATCTAATGGTCTTGTGGTTCCTTGTATTTTGGAAATATATTGACAGTCCCCTCAGGTCTAGCGTAGAATTTTCCCCCGTCTTGCCATTGTGTTTTCAATGCGATTGGTCAAGTAGAAGTGAATCCTTTCTTTCTATTTCTTTTCAGTGTCCCCCTTAATCTCAATTAGTTAATGCAGAAGTTCACCAGTTGTTCTGCCATGTTTGGAGTGAATTCTCTGATTTTCTCTTTTATCTTTAAAGTGAGCATTTTCTCTTTTTTCATTGTAGATATGTAAATGATGGGAGACCCTTCTGGCAATATATAGTCAGTTCTTCCACTGGCTGTTCTGATTCTCAGTACTTTGAAGAACTTTATAACTACTATACGACTGACAAGGTTGGGTGATTTTTTAAGTACCATTTTCTGTATAGGTATAGCAATATAGAGGTATGAAGTGGGTTATAATATTTTTCTTTGTTTTCTCCTAGGCTTGGCACCTCTGTGATCCTGATGCTGAGAAGGTGTTTGAAGCTCTGAGGAAAGCAGGTGTTAAAGTAGCTGTTGTATCAAATTTTGATACCCGATTAAGGCCTCTTTTACATGCTCTACATTGTGAACATTGGTTTGATGCAGTAGCAGTGTCAGCCGAAGTAAGTGAATTGCTTAGAAATTCTCTACAGTAAGTCTTTGCGTCGTTCTCTCTCTCTCTCTCTCTCTCTCTCACAAACACACACACACACAGAGGGACCACAGACAGACACATATTCTAGGATCTTCTGCAGTACGTACGGTTCTTGAATCAAGTGATTGGTTGTCCATATTATCCATCGTTCAGAAATTAAGAAGTTAAGTCCAACAAAGTTAGTCTCTATTTTGTAGTAATAATCAAAGCAAGTGATACTGTACTTGTTTAACTCCCACCCACCCACACAAAAAGAGAATGCAAAAGCTAAATGGGATTTTCGGGAATTCCATATTTGTATTATATACATACAAAAAGATTTGAACTCTTTTTACTTCACATAGTCCGTTGGTCTGATGACAAAATAACTGTGTTGTTGGTATCATTGTGTCACTGCTGATGCTATGATTATTTCTTATTTGAACAGGTTGAAGCAGAGAAGCCAAATCCAACAATATTTCTTAAAGCTTGTGAATTATTGGGAGTAAAACCTGAGGATGCTGTGCATGTAGGTGATGATCGTAGGAATGATATATGGGGTGCTAGAGATGCAGGCTGTGATGCTTGGCTTTGGGGAAGTGATGTTCACTCCTTCAAGGAGGTACGTCCCTGTCATATGTCTTTTTATGCTAAGGAAATTTTAGGCAAGGGTATTATGATGTATTATTTAGTCCCTAGATAACTTCATGGAAACATTTAATGGGCACATCGTGGTTGCTCCCAATGCGACCTGTGGATTAGGGAACTTTGCTCAGGTCATTCCCTCCAACTATTCGAACCTCCACCTTTCATAGCACCTCCATATGTAGAATGTCTGAGTCTATATTTTCGTTTAAGTAACTACCCAATTTTAGGGAGCTTTTTTCATCTAGAACATGCAGACAGCTGGCTATTGGAGTCTTCTAGGGTTTTTCTCCTCTAAATATTTGGTAAGAAAGCTGAATGACAATCTTCTCTCTTTCTAACGTTAAAGTACCACTGAAGGTACATATTCTTGTTTGGATCTTGGCCCCTAATATTTGTGTTTCTCCCAACGGTGTATCATATGATATACAGAAGACTTGGAGTGCCAATCTAGCTATGTTGAGGTGGGTGGTTCCAGCATCTTGCATGGAATTTTTCTTTGAGAAGCATAAGGTACTTGGAGGAGGGAAATAAGGGTATAGAGGTCCTGTGCAGATGTAGTGTGATGGCTGTGCTTCAGGGTGGTCGGATTGAAAGAAAAAGAAGTATCTTTTTACAGCATTAGGGAGAAGGGAAGGAGTTTTTATGAGATAAGGTTCGATTGAAGTCATCCTTGTTGGCTCGGTTTCTTCCCGGGGACGGACTAATTTTTTTAGGCATCTGTGCTGCTATTATTAATCAGGGTTGGTTCCATTATCTTGCCACATTTCAAACGTCTTCGTGCTAAATGTTTGGCTACTTTAGTCAAGTTAGAATACTATCATTAAGAGAGCACTAGCTGGAGGACGAATACATGCTTTGTCTGTCTGTACCATTTGTCTATTGGTTCAACAACAACAACAACGACAAGAAAGCCTTATCCCACTAAGTGGGGTCCGCTATATGAATCCTAAAACGCCGCTGCACTCGGTTTTGTGTCATGTCTTCCGTTAGATCCAAGTAGTCCAAGTCTTTTCCTAGAGTCTCTTTCCAAGTCTTCCTAGGTCTTCCTCTACCCCTTTGACCCTGACCTCTATCTCGTAATCACATCTTCTAAACTTGCAGATCCGCTTAATTTATTATCTAAGAGCCTTAGAAATGTGTCAAACTTTCTTGGCGTTCATCTTCGTTGTCGATATTGATGTCCTTTTCACCCTTGCTTTTGACCTTCTGTTTTTTTTTGTAGTCATCGTCTACCATGTATTTTATGCGTATCTTTTCTAGTCATCCAAAAATTGCACCTTATTTCCTTTGTGTAAACTAATTACTTTTGTGCTGCTAATGCAGGTGGCTCAGAGGGTAGGGGTCCAGGTTTAGCATGATGTCGTAGCGACCTGAATGATGCTCGGTCTGTACAGGTTTTTATTTAGCTTCTTCGATGCGGGGCGTTGTGTAATTACGCTCTTGGTGTAATCTGTATAAGAGAGACGTGAAACCTAAGAGAATTATCATGCTGAAGTATCGATTTTGTACTAATTATGGTAAGTTCAGTTGCATCACATTCTGATAGTATAAGAGAATTATCACGTTCTGATAGTACTAGAGACCACACACTGATTTCTGAAACTTACAGTACAAGTAAACTAGGCTTATATTTTCGATTGGAGCCCCTCTCGTTTGACAGGCGTCTGGGGCTGTGTGCACCTGCGCAGCCCCAGGCCTGTCGAAGAAAATTACTGATGTGCTGCTAAAGTGATTGTGAGAAATTTCGTTTCTCCTAGAGAGTCTGGGGTTTGTTAGGGTTTTTGCGACTGAATGTTCCATGAATTATTCACTTTCAGAAAGCAAAAATCATATTTTTATTTTATCAGGAAAGAAAAAGAAAATGAAAAAGATGTCATTTGATACTATGATCTAATGGTATTCTTCTTCATTTGTATTCTTCTTCACTTGTAAGTGAGAGGTCTTAGGTTTGATTATCGCCAAAGACGAATTTGAACCAGATTATATTACTAGCTCACATCGTATACCATCCCCTCCTTAGTATAAATAATATTGTTCGTATGTGCTCATTTAAGAAAAGAAGAATATTGATCAAGGTTTATAATCCCCGACACCCCCCCCCCCCTTTTCCCCCCTTTAAATACCATCTAGCTATAGTACTAGTATTTGTATTAAGAGTAATTTTTTGGTGTACTCAAACACAGTCACGTGGACAAGTGGCATGTTACCGTAGTGGTGAAAATAAGTTGAGTTCTTACATGACGGCGTGAGTTCAAACTCATCAGTGGCTAATCTAACATCTAATCTAACAAAATTTATCGTTTGAAGAAAATAAAAAATAAAACACAGTCATGTAGTGTTATTATTCTACTTAAATTGTAACACGTGAGTTAGCTTATTATTAATATACTTTGGGGTGGTTTGGGAGTGAGGTGCTTAAAAAAAAAACACCCATGAAAAAAAGCTGTGAGGGTTTTAGGTGTTTGGTAAACTGAAAAAAAAAGGCTTATTTTGGAAGCTGATGTGAGAATAAGCTGAAATCAAAGGAAAAAGTTGAAGCTGCTATTTGCAACTTTGGAAAACTGGCTTTTTTTCAAAGCACACGGAGCTACAGTGCTCCTTTAATGAAAAGACCCACTATATACCAAACCAGCCCTTTATAAGTCGAACATATCTATTCTATTGTCCACTTGTATTATAACACGTGAAATAGTATACCACATAACTTGTGTTTTTGGTATCCATAAAAATTTCACATGTTAAGAAGAATAGCCACTATTGACTATAGTACTATTTTCATATCTAATCAATTTCTCAATTATCACATAATTGAATATGCTCCGAAGGTGAAGTGATTATGAGTATTTATTTATACACATAAAATGTTATGTCATGTTCCTTCTCTCTATATTGCTTTTACAAAACAAAATATATGAATAGTTAAGACAAGTTACAAGTAATGGTGTTTAATTAAAGTGTTAACCATGCTATTTTGAAAGGAAAGGTTAAACATGATAATTAGTTAGAGTGTCACATCTCGACCCGAGCCCCCACCACATCTCGGGCTCGACTCCGCCGTAGTACGATATTGTCCGCTTTGGGCCCCGACCATGCCCTCACGGTTTTGTTTTTGGGAACTCAGACGAGAACTTCCTAATGGGTCACTCATCATGAGATTGCTCTCGCACGAACTCCCTTAACTTCGGAGTTAAGACGGAACCCGAAACCAGTAAACTCTCAAAAGGCCTCGTGCTAGGTAGAGATGAGAATATACATATAAAACTTACAGAATCCACTCCCCTGGATGATGTGGGATGTTACATAGAGCATCACCAATCACGTTTTTTATTTTATAACAAAGTTTTAACAAAAATTATTTTAGGAGCTCTTTAAAAAGGTTTTGCTCAAACCATAGAGTCATAATGACTATGAGTCTATAACTAGTCAATAAATTAAATATATATTTAAAATTGTTTTAGCCCTGATTTAACTAATGAATTATAGAGAGGATAGAGAGGTGCGGCAAGCATAAAGAAAAAGAGAATTGGGTGAATTCTGAGGTGTGTTTTCTTACCCTTATTATGATAGTAGTAGGGAAGGTTGTTTACCCCAGTAGTATTGTAACTCTAATAGTAGAATCCCATAAGGATTTTCTAGGATTTACACAACTATATTATTAAACTATTAGGACTGCAACAAAAACAATATTAATTAGCATTAATTATAGAGAGCCCTCCTTCCTTCCTATGTTTAGGAGATCCTAGATGAATTCCTATCGTCGGAGGTAAAGCATGATTGGACTTGATTTTTTTGAAATCTTCCCCAACTCTAGTTAGAAGCTCATTTAGAGAGCCCGTTGAAGATGTTCATTTGGTTTTTCTTAAATTTGAAAGGAAAAGACGTGGTGTACTAGACATCATTTTTTCTATCATTGAAAGTAGTCAAATCATATACTTATTTTGATTCTAACTCATTACTCCACCTCAACTCGCTAAGCTGACTGACCAAAATGACTTAAGTATTTAACATCTTTCCACATAAAGAAACAGACTTCCATCTTTTTCAATAATTGATGAAATAATCAACCCTTATGGTGGATTATTACTTCGCTTTGGAAAGGGAGATTGGACAAGATTTGAGTGGGCTCATTTTGCTATTTTAGGTGCCAAAATGTCAACCAAACCAAACCACATCAAATTAGAAGTGATTTTCAGCACATCCATTTCCTTTCGTTGCACTCTTGTTTATTTCTAGCAATTTGAGTTGAATCGGTTAAAGGATAATCAAAACAAAAATAAAGACAAGTACGCAAAAGAAGAAAATGGCGTGCAAAATTACGAATTTCGTGTAGGCCAAGAGAATAACTAGTTTCATCATAAACAAGCAAGATTGAATTTGAAACTTTCTAACATATTTCAAAAACCATATTTTTGCTTAATCCCCTTTGAGTTTTGACATAACATTAATACAGGAAACAAAACAACCTCTGCTCACACCGGGTATACGCCCGCCCAAAGCTGTGATGCGGCATTCCACAAATCATAAAAATTGCCAAAACTGCAAGACCTCTACAGTTGTTCCTAGAAAAAAGCTCTAAAGTTTCAAACGGGGAGAAAAATACTCCCCTATCACCTGGTTTAACCAGATGAAGGTCCAGCTTGGTGTCTGCTCTTCTTGTAGTAACTCCCAAATCTTTGGGCAACCGCAGCATCGTATGATGTATCCCATACCTGAAAATTCAGTCATATTAAATTAGCAATCGTGATCCACCATAGAAAAGCCGCCTTTCAAAATAGTGCAACGATGAACAAGATACAGATAGACGGCTCACTTCCAGTTTCCCTTTTGAGCCTCCTATGGCCAGCAAAAAGGGGTTATCTTCTGCAAACGAAATAGAAAAGACTGCTCCCTGACAACATTCAGAGCAGAGTCCAACAATCAATCTCACATTAAAAAAAAAAAAGAAAAAGAATAACTCGTCGCACTAGAATGATGAACTACGATCAATCACTTACTGCTTTAGGATTCCTGGATGAAATGCACGAAGGTTGGTTGTTTGACAAATCCCAAAGCTTTACCTGTAACAAATGATAGTGGAAACATTACAAAACATTCAAATCTGCCCAGTATACGAGTGTGCAGGTAGTGAGAAACCTTCATACCATTTTATCTGTGGATCCAGTTGCAAGAAGCTGGAAAACAAAAGGCACAGAGGTGAGATTACACAAACTCAGTGATAAAAAAGTACGCCAAAGTAAGGAGAAAAAGAGAACTGTACATTAGGTGCTGCAGGGTTATATGAGATTGAGCAAACAGCTTTGTCGTGCGCATGAAGAGTAAAACTAGGTTTAGACTCAGAAGTAGGAGCAGATGTGGCAGCCCGAATATCAAAACCTTTGATTGTGCCATCTTCAAGGCTCACCTGGATGGATTTAAAAAATGTTGTGATCAATAAAGGATAATTCTTATAAAGCCAGAGAGGCATCTGTATCCACACATTAATAAATAACACGAAAAGGGATTAACAAAAAGCAAACTGTCTTAAGAGCCAAAGCGCACACCACAAATGAATGCTCAGTGTGTGGATCCCATGCTAAGCTTTCTACATCAGCTGTGACAGTCCACTTATACCCAGAATGTGATGGCACCCTCCCATCTTTCTGGAATGAATAACAAATGTAAATGCACGAGTCAAAAAAAAATTCAAACAAATAAGTTCCTTACGTTTGCTTAAGTTCTAGGATAACAAATAAATGCCAACAGAGAAACATTTGTAAAACATTAAATACCAAGACTACTGTATGATCAAAAGAACCACTGAGAAGAACTTGAGGGGCAAAATGATTCCATGCAACTGCCTGAACCTGTAAAAATAGTATGGATAAGGTTAAATTCTATAGCACACCATTGAAAATTTGATTTCAGGTGAAAGCATAGAAAATCAGTTCTATCTAAATTCTTGCCTTGTCGGTATGGTGCTCCATGGTAATATTACATTTTCCGGTAACCACATCCCAAATCTTAACTTGTTGGTCAGCACTTGCACTAGCAAGTATATTTCTGTTTATAGAAAAAAACAACAGAGTTTATGGAACCTTCCACTGAAGCAACAACACATAGTACAAAAGTGTAGAAGATTACAAACCTGTACTCCTTATTCCAAGCAAGGCCAAGAACTGAATCTCTGTGACTGTCTTCTTTGTATTTGATTGATACCTAATACAATGCAAGTTTCGGGATTGGTAGAGAAAGTGAAAACGAGTTGCAGGATTATCAAAGCCCAAACAGTGAAAGAATTGAGGATCAAACCTTCTTTCCTTTCTTTTTCTTCTTCTCAGCAATACCACCCAATATCACGCATGGTTGTACTTCATCAATCTGAAAAACAGCAAAACTGTTTAGAAAATAGAATAACATTTCCATCAATTACCCACATATATCTATGTAATGAGACTAGTGTCCATGAACTACATACGATGTCAAGATCCCATATCTCAATAGATGGTTCATCCATTAAACCAACAGCAATGAAATTCCCTGCCAACATATAAAAATATT